ATCTGTTACTAGCAGGGGAGATAAATCCTGTCAAAGAAACCTGAGGAGGGTTCACCTGAAATAATGGGTATGGAAGCCCTTTGTTTTCTACATAGCTAGAACCAGTCATAGTAATTGCTGCTCTTGGCTCATGTGAGACTCACAAAACCAGGGTAGAAGAGTAGGTAATGGTTTCATTTCACCTCAACTTGGGAGCAATTTGATGCTGTTATCACACATGAACCAAGTTGAAGTATACCATATCAAACCCTCTTCACCCAGGCCTACCTTCTACCTTCCAGACCCCTCAATGCTTCCTTCCACATGACCCCAGAAGGAATCTTCTATCTTAGGGAGGTAACTGTCATCTTCTATCTTAGGGAGATAAATCAGTCCCCCATGAAGTATAATACATTCACAAATGAATGTATCCAAGAAGGCTTTGGAGAACTAACCCAAGCTGCTTTCCCCTTTTACTAGGGTAGCTATAGAACTAGTTGTTATGCTATTGCTAAATTCACTCTGGTCCTACTATTCCCCAAATTTTGCTTACAGGCCCCTAAAACTGCCTGAAGTTCCCACTGTTAAAACCATGACTTTACATTAAAGCAAAGGTGTCTAGCCAGTAGGGAGAAGTCCCCAGGCTAATCTCAGTGTTCCCTCAGAGATCAAAACCCTCCTAGCTCCTTAAAGCTGCAAATCATTTTACCTTGTACAAATCTCTCTCTCATGTGGTACCCCATTTTGACTCCATAAAGGGAGATAGGACGATAGCATGAACTTTGAAACCTTCTGGAGAAACTGGATCAGGGGAGGGAGGTGGACAAGTAGACAGCTTCAACCAAAAATGGGGAGTTAGGGTCAAGGAATAAGGGGATGCTAAGTTCTCTGAAAGCTGGTGATATAGCTTAGTGGTAAAGCACTTGTCTAGTATCCCCAAGGCCCTAGGTTCAATCCCCAGCAGCACACACACACAAAATTAACTCCTATAAGCCTTGATTTTCTTCTGCAAAACGGGACTAATAATATCAGCTCATGCATTTGCTGTGCCTGGGGATTATCATCATCAAGATTCCCAAATGGAATGTGAGAGAAGGGGGTCTGAGACAATGCTGCTGAATATTTATGGTACATAAATAATCTTCCTGGAATTTTACTTAAGGATTTGGAGGTGGGGAGTTTTATAATAAAACTTGGATTTATTATGCAGGAAAATGCAAGCCTTGTATGTATTTAAAGATTTTAAAAGGGAGTTTTGAAAGAGATGTCATGCTTCTAGTGGGCTGCTTCTGGCTACACCCCCAGTTCCCCAGGGATTGGACATGTGATTACGCCCTACTGCGCCATGTAGGGACTTTAGTAGGAAAGCGAGAGCAACACTGTCTAAGGGAAGATGAGAAAGTGCCTGGCAAGCAGTCAGCAGTTAGTAAATGGGGGCTCATGTTAGGGCAGTCACTATGTCAGCCCAGAGAACACAGACCTATACATATAACTTGTGTGGCTTCATTCAGCTAAAAAAGTGACAAAGTCAGAACTGGAACCCACTGTTCACTCCCCACCCAGGGCTTTGTCACCAACTCCCCATGTGAAAGGCTTTATGATTAGCAGCCTTTCACTACTTAGGCCACGTCCTTTGTTCTCCTTTTCCCTCTTAGAATTTCCTCTTGGCATAGGACTGGGTTCCAGTCCTATGGGAACATACATGTGTAACTCCTTTAAATGGCAGGCATCCCTGTGAGAAGGCAATAGATACAGATAAGCAAACCTGTGCACTTCAGAGAGCAGACATAGGACTACTGAGTCCGAGGTAAGAAACAGAAAGGTCCCAGTTGTCTGCTTTCAGGATTGGATGAAGGCCTAAGCAATGTTCATAACACAAGGGGTACATCCCCCCAAATCTACTTCTCTCAGTCAGTTTTGTCTGACAGGTATTTAGCTTTGCTTCCTATTTTCAGGCTTAGATTTCTGGGTTCAGATCAGAACCAAGGGTGACTTGGGCTTCGCCAACAAGTGAGGAATGCATGGAATCCAGGGACAACTGAGAGTCTTGGGGAGATACAAAACTTTCTCAGGCCCTGGCAGGCTGGCATCCATGCCCTAGACCCCAAAAGGTTGATTCTGTTTGTTCCCTAAATGAAAGGAACTGAGGTCCCTAGTGAATTAATTGGTGATCCAGATTTGTCCATCTTCTGCTTCATACCACGGAATGAGATGCCCCAGGGAGCTGAGCGCCTATCACACCCAAGATTCATTTACTACTCCCAACAACCCAGAAAATGTAGTTATTTTTCCAATTTATAGATGAAAAGACTGACGCACAAAGGCTTGTTTCTCAGGCCCTAGAATCTTCTGAAGCATTGATAGAAATGCAAATTTTTGGCTACATCCCAGACCTACTCAGAGTTTCCCTGTAGTAGACTCATTAGAGCCTCAAATCTGTAACAAGGGTGATCATCAGGTTGTTCCCATGCTCACAAAAGTTGAAAAACCTTGATAGTGCAATTTAGTAACCCACCCAAAGTAACTTCTGAGTAGTAGAGCTGAGGCATAAACTTGAGCTTTCTGACATTAGGTCCAGGGCTCTTTTCAGCTTATTGGAGAAATTGAAATCAGGTTCTCTATGTCTGCCTCAGTGCCCACCACATTGCCCCACAATAAACTCCTTGAATGAATGGATGAGTAAATGAAATTGTGTGACCCCAGCTGCTTCCACTGTGTTGGGGTCAGGACAAGGCCCTATTCCAGTGGAAAACATTTATGCATTACTGAGACACCAGTTTGCAGACTGGGCCCGTGTTGCTTTCAGAAAAGCCACTGGCAAAAGATCCGGACCATGGTGAATCTGCCAGTCATGAGCCCTTTCAAGAAGCGCTATGCCTGGGTGCAGCTGGCGGGACACACAGGTAAGTGAGAATCACTGCCGGGACCAGTGCGTGGGGAGGGTTACTGAGACTGGAAGGGACTGAGTAGCACTAACTGGTGCCCCTCTGCAGGGAGTTTCAAGGCTGCCGGCACGAGTGGACTGATCCTGAAGCGCAGCTCGGAGCCTGAGCGCTATTGCCTGGCGCGGCTGATGGCTGATGCGCTGCGTGGCTGTGTGCCCGCCTTCCATGGCGTTGTGGAGCGCGACGGCGAAAGCTACTTGCAATTGCAGGACCTGCTTGATGGCTTCGACGGACCCTGTGTGCTTGACTGCAAGATGGGTGTTAGGTTTGCATGCCCTGCTGGGCCAAGAGGAACCAACGTGGGCTGGGACAATCGCTCAATTCAGTTCCCAAGGCAAGTACTAGCTTGGGGTCCTGGTGCCCACACCTCACATCCTGTTTCCTGTCTGTGCTTCCGCAGGACATACCTGGAAGAGGAACTGACCAAGGCCAGAGAGCGGCCCAAACTTCGGAAGGACATGTACAAGAAGATGCTGGCGGTGGATCCTGCAGCACCCACTGAGGAGGAGCACGCACAGCGGGCTGTCACTAAGCCTCGCTACATGCAGTGGCGGGAAGGCATCAGTTCCAGTACCACGCTTGGCTTCCGTATCGAGGGCATCAAGGTGGGCCAGGCCCACTTTGCTTTGAACCTCAACGTCTGGGCCCTTGTTTCATCCCAGCCCCTTTCGGCCGGGCCGGTGTTCTTCCCCCTTTTTTGAACACTCCACCAGCAGCACCGAGCGACGCCCTCTGGCGGCGGGTCTCACTGTCCCTAGAAGTTAATGTCCTGGGAGGTATTGCTGCCCTGGCATGATTCTCTTCCCGCCACCCCATGCGGGTCAGGGCCCCTGACACTCCCTGCCCACCTCCTTCAGAAAGCAGATGGCTCCTGCAGCACCGACTTCAAGACTACACGAAGCCGAGAACAAGTGACTCGCGTCTTTGAGGAGTTTGTACAAGGCGATGCAGAAGTGCTGGTGAGAACCTGATCCCAGAATCCTGATATGTTGAAGCATCTGAAACTAAGGGTGCCTCCTGGTCACCTGTTCTAGTGCCTTTGCCTATGTGACTTCCCCTGGTAGCATTTATTTAATTGTTGTAATTGCTGTATTTCCTTCCCTCCCGAGCCATGCAGGGGAGTCTCACAACCATATTTGCCAAGCTGAAAATGCATCATGGCTCCTAATGTTAGCAGGACTTCCTTAGCTTGTAAAATTAATTTGCCTACTCTACCCTCTCCAGAGGATGTATCTGAACCGTCTGCAGCAGATCCGAGATACCCTGGAGGTCTCTGAGTTCTTTAGGAGGCATGAGGTAAGAGGCTAGTGTGCTCAGGTGCTGGGTCTATGGTGGTTAGAGTGGGAAAAGAGTTGTGGGACTTCTTCAGGAAAAGGCCTGACTGTTGGGGCTTGGCAGGTGATTGGCAGCTCGCTCCTGTTTGTGCATGATCATTGCCATCGAGCCGGCGTGTGGCTCATCGACTTTGGCAAGACCACACCCCTTCCTGATGGCCAGATCCTGGACCACCGGAGGCCCTGGGAGGAGGGCAACCGTGAGGACGGCTATTTGCTGGGGCTGGACAATCTCATTACCATCCTGGCCAGTCTTGCTGAGAGATGAAGCCAACCCTTTGTCCCAACACTTGGGCCAACAGTCAGACAGATGTGGACCTGCAGCTGCATCCCCACTGTGCATGCCGGCAAGAGACAGGAATACCGCTGGGCGGGCAGTTCATTCAGTCCTGCAGGGCCAGGTGCCAACCACTAAGGGAATGCACTGCCAACACCTAGAATTGGCCTCCACTGAGCCCCAGTGTTCCCAGAGCTTAATGACACTAATTTTATAGGAGGGGAGGGGAACCATGGGCTCCTTCATCAGCCCAGCTCTTCTGAGGCAGCTTTGTACCTCTCCAGAGGGGCCAGGTAAAAAATTTTATTTCACAGGTCTAGACCTATTGGTCTAACTTCCCACACTACAATGGACTCCTCTTCCTAATAAAACTCAAAGACTCAGTTTTGTGACTCAGGCCTCATCCACTCCCTCCTCTGGACTCCTTTCCTCAGTTCTAAAATCTTTCATGTCCACTCAGATCACTGGAAGGTATAAAAAGAATTTTTTATTAGAAATATCTACGGGGTTGGAGATAAAAGATGTGGGGAGAGGGTAATCCACACTCCCCACCATAACTGGGGTGTGAGAGAATGGCTTCTGGTCCCAAAGACCAAAGGCTGGGAGTAGGTAGGCCCTTCCCTAAGAGCCTGGGGCTGGTTTCTAGCATAAAAGTCCAATGTTGCCAGGACTGCCCTGAGACAGCTCCAGACAGCACAGACTGCAGGGGAACAGAGGCTACTGGACTAACAAGGCACTAGAAGCCTGGAAAGGGGTACAGGGAGGAGCAGTTGCTAAGAACAGTGCCTGAGTCCTCAATCAGAGTCCCTTGGGACCCAAGAGCCATAGGTGGGATTCCAAAGATTCTGAGGTTGGAGACCTCGGGATTTGAGGGGCTTGAGGCCAGAGGACAGGTGAGGGACAAGAGGCCTCCTTCCCCAGTTTTTCAAATTCTCTGGGCTCAGGTCCTGGGGTTGTGGGGATCTTAGGCCCTCCAAGGACCTGTTCCCCAGGTCAGAAGCCCCTTCATCCTCCAGAGTGGGCTTCAGTTCTATTGGCAGTGGTGAATTAAGCACATCAGGGTCCTGTAACGGGAAGGTAGGGGAACAGTGGGCCACAGAGTAGTTTTGGGGCTTTCTTCCTGACTCATAAGGCCAAGCTGGTCAGAGGGGTTATGGGGAAAAGCGTTATTAAGAGGCATACCTGAGTACAGTATTGAAGGCGCTCCAAGATGCTGGCAAAGTTGGGGCGGAGTTCAGGTTGATGCTGCCAACACTGGGTCATGATGCGGTACCTGGAGGAAGGCAGGAATTTGTGGCCACAATGGTCTCTAGGGACCTCCCTTCCTGGGTAGCGCTCTAAACTCACACAGGTCCTGGACAGCCCTGAGGAGGGTCCATCCGGCTCCCTGCAATGATGAAGTCCAGCACCTCTTGGTTGGTATGCCCAGGGTAGGGCATGTAACCCAGTGAGAAGATCTCCCAGAGCAGTACCCCAAAAGACCTGCATTGTAAGACAAGTGAGGCCCATCAGGTCCAACCAACCCTTCCCACAAACCAGGCAGCCACCGAAGGACAGGATTAGTTTCAAAGCAGGGTAGAAAAGTGCAAGGGAGAATATCTTATCACCAGGAGTCTGTCTTTGACGTGAAGATCCCCTCTAGAAGGGCCTCTGGGGGCATCCATTTGACTGGGAGCAAGGCCTGCCCTGCCTTACGATAATAATTGGCCCTACAGGAGGGAGGAGAGTGAAAAGTTGTTCAAATACCTCAAGGTGCTGTTAAACCCCCTTGGAGTAGCAGTTTCCCATTTCCCCAGGCTTCACACCGGTAGATATCTCTTGCCATCCCAAAGTCCCCAATCTTGGCAACACGACTGGGCCCAGTGCAGCTCAGCAGACAGTTCCTGGCGGCAATGTCCCTGTAGAATAGGGCAAAAGATCTCTTTCAGAATTGAGAAGCTCTGGCCCTTCCTGATCTATTTCCTTAAAAGTTATGTGCAAGAGTTATTCCTTGGGGAATGAGTTGGGCTGGGAGTCCTCTGAGCCAGGATTGCTCCTAACCTGTGGATGAAGCGATTTTCCTCAAGGTAGTGGCAGCCCTGGGCTATGTCCTGGGCCAGCTGCAGCAGGTCCTGCATGGCCAGAGGTGATGGCTGACCCTGGATCAGGCAAAGGACACATCAGTCCATGCAAGTCTGTGGACACATGTAACAGAGTCTTGAGAGGGCTGGAGGGCTGGAAGTAGTGTCTCACCAGGTTGGGACGACTCTGCCTCAGGAAACTCTTCATGTCCCCTCCAGACATCAGTTCCAGCAGAATGAGGCGAGGCACAGCCCTGAGGCTGAGCCCCACACAGCGCACGATGTTCTGATGGCTGAACTTACTGAATCAAGTAGTGCACATACCCCATCACCAGCAGGGAGAGAAACATGTTCTAAGTTCTGCACAAATGCAGAGGACCCTGTGTTCCTAAATATGCTACCTCTTAACCCCAAAGTGCAGGGGAGGCCATTTCTGCAGGTGAAACTGGGCTTTCCCACCTCTATGCACAAGCCCCAGGGGTACCTGATGATGAGCGCCTCCATGAGAAAATCCAACTCATCCTGATGAGAACAGAGATCTGGCAGAGTCTGGGGAGGAAAAGCAAAGTTCTGAGTTCCTCTGGAAACCATGAGTGAAGTTCACCATAGCTCTAGCAATTGTCCATCCTTCTGTGGTGCCCTGTTCTCCTACAACCAACCAGAAGCCCTACCCCCTCACCTTGATTGCCACCTGTAGGGGGCTGGAGTCCCCAGGAAGGCCAATTACCAATCCCTCATACACTTCCCCAAAGGCACCGTGGCCCAGGGCTCTGCAGGAAGACAGGTTGGAAGAGAGTGGGTAGCTGACACAGAGAAGGGTCCCAGAGGGTTAACTGCTTTGTCCCATTATGTACCCTGATGACCCTATTTGACCTCTCTCTGCATCATGGATGTCTCCAAGCACAAGCCCTAGAAGAGTGGTGCTAACTCACACAGAGCTGAGGCAGAGAACAGACAAATGGAATGGGAGTTGGGGTGGAAGGCTGTGATAAGGCCTTTTATTTTATTTTTTTCCTTTGACTGGGGATTGAACCCAGGGTGCTTTACCCCTGAGCTACATCCCTGGTCCTTATTATTATTATTATTATTATTATTATTAATCTTGAGACAGGGTCTTGCTAAGTTGCTAAGGCTAGCCTCAAATTTGTGATCCTCCTCCCTAAGCCTCCCAAGTTGCTAGGATTACAGGTGTGTGCCCCGACTCCAGGAGATGAGGCCTTCACTTATGGTGCTGCAAACACCCTGGAAGGGTGGCAATCCTTGGGCTCCAGAAGAGTCATATTCTAAGGTCCTTATCACTCCAGAATTGGGGCAGAGAGCTGATCCTGCCCTCTTTCCTTTTATAGCTTGTATGGGCCTTCATCTCCCTACACAAGAGGTGTAAATTGATTGCTCAAATGCACCATAATTGATCCATAATCTACCACAGGATGAAGAGAATCAGAGGTGGGGATTCAGAGCACAACAGTTTTCAGAAAGTGGTGGAGGACTCACCTGAGCAGAGTGACATTGGCTGGGGAAACCTCGGTGAGCCCTGGGGGCAGAGGCCACGACTGGGTCAGACCAAGCCCTACCTGGCAGTAATAGGGATTGGGGGCTGTCCTGATGGCAGAGGTTCGAAGCTTGCTCAGCTCAAGCTCAGGATCTGGCCGCCTGGACCCCCATAGGCCCTGCCACTTCTTCTGGTTCACTGAGAATAGGAAGAACACAGGTATTCCCTGTACTTATCCATCAATCCTACTCTGCCTCCCCCTGCCTAGGACACCTTCCAGTTGCCCATTCAAGTAGATGTTTTCCCCAGGCCTCTCCAGCTGTTTCTACTCTTTGAAAACCAGAGGAGTCTGCTGGAGGGGAAAAGGGGTTCTGAAGTCAGTCACATATGACCCTGGGACCCATTACAGCCCATCACGGCTCAATGGAGAAGGGGTAGTACTGGATCAGCCATACCAATTAGATGCTCCGTACCCAAAATCAGGACCCCACACACCATAAGGAGGCTCAGTATCAAGGTCACCACTACAGCCACCATCAGAACCAGTGGGCTTGAGGGGGTTGGCAGGTCTAGAAAGAAAGAAAAAACTTGAACAGGAAGTTCCATGTCCCTCTACCCTTAAGTCTTAACCATGCTTCAAAACTCAGCTCAGTGTAAACTTTTCCACAATGACATTCCCAATTATTCTAGACAAAAGCAAACTCTCCCTCTTGAGAACCCCTAAAACACTTGACACCTCCCATTGCAACTGTCATTTTTAGATATATATCTATATATCTATTTCTAAATATCCATCTCACCTCCCACACTGGCCTACACACTTCTTGAAGGCAGAGCAAGCACTGATCCATCTGCAATCCCCTGCCTAGTATCTGTCACAGTGCCTGGCACTCATCAGGCATCTATATCATCTTTCCCAGTGCCCTGCTGCTCCTCTCAGCCTGAAACCCAGAAGTTCAGACCTGGAAAAAAAAAAGGCAAGACATACCTCTGCAAGTGATGTTATCCACAGCTAGCTCCATGCCTTCTGGGCACATGCATTCAGTCAAATGAAGCTCAGCCTGCCACTGGCAGTCTTTCAAAGAACAATGACTGCAATTGTGGTGCCTTCGGATTTCCACCTCTCCATGGTTCTCTATGACTATGAATAAAATAACTGATATGATGTGGTGGAGATGAGGATTGTGAAAGGAGTTTGGGGGCATAGGTCTTTTTCCAACCATGTGGTTAATTCTCCCCCAGGAGTTTATTCTATCTATCTATCTATCTATCTATCTATCTATCTATCTATCTATCTATCTATCGGTACTGGGGATTGAACCCAGGGGCACTTAACTACTGAGCCACATCCCAGCCCTTTTTATTTCTTTATTTTAAGATAGGGAACTCTTTAAGTTGCTTAGGGCTTCATTATGTTGCTGAATTTAAGGTTGGCCTTAAATATGTGATCCTGCCTCAGATTCCCGAGTCACTGGAGTTACAGGCGTTCACTACCATACCTGGCTAGCGCAGGAGTTTAGAGCAAGGAGTAGCATTAAGTACCCAGGGCAGAGGGGGAGCCCGGAGGACTTCTGTCAAGCCTGAATATTCCCAATTCTGGGACCCTTGATTCCCCAGGTATTTGAATAGATTTCATAGCAAGAGGATACTTGACAAGCATTCCAGAATGTCCATACTGGTATCACAACCAATAGCCCACAACAATGTCGTTCACAGTACAGAGCTGGTGAGGGGTGGGGGCCCATACCTGCCAGAGGCTGCAGGTAGAGTTCACTGCTGGGGTGTATGAAAGATACCCCATCTTCCCCATCAGCCCAGAAGATGTCAGTCTCTGAGGCATCACCCCCTAGAAATTAAGAGTGATAGAAGGTTTGAATACAAAAAGAGTGAGTAGAGTGAGGGTGGGGGGAGGAAGTAGCACACAGCTGCCTCATAGAAGGGAAGCTGGAATCTCCCTCCTGGTGGAAACCCCATTGTCCCCTACACTGTAGCCTTGCCATCCAGGTGCTAATTTGAGCCAATCAACATATGCACTACTTACATGACTTACTTTTTGTGGGAAAACACCTAAAATATATTCTCTTATTTATTTAAAAAAATTTTTTTTCTCTTGGGGCTGGGGTTGTGGCTCAGCAGTAGAGCGATTGCCTAGTACATGAGAGGCCCTGGGTTCCATCCTCGGCACCACATAAAAATAAATAAGTAAAATAAGGGTATTGTGTCCATCTACAACTAAAAAAATTAATATTTAAAAATTTTTTTCTTAGATTTAGGTAGACACAACACCTTTGTTTTATTTATTTTTATGTGGTACTGAGGATTGAACCCACACATGCTAGGAGAATACTCCACCACTGAGCCACAACCCCAACCCTTATTTATTTTTATTTATTTATTTTTGCAGTACTGGGGATAGAACTCGAAAGGCACTTTACTGATAAGCTATATCCCCAGAACATCTTATTTCTTGAGACAGGGTCTTGAAATAATTGCCACTTAAACTTGCTAAGTCTAGCCTGGAACTTGGAATTCTCTTGCTACAGCCTCCTGAATCCCTGGGATTACAGGCCAGCACCACTAGTACCTGACTACTCTCTTAGCCATATTGTAGAATACATTGCTATTAACTGTAGTCACATGTTCTGCAGTAGATCTTGAACTTATTCTTCTTAACTGAAGTTTTATATCCTTTGACCCCATCTCCCCACTCCAACCCTTATAATTTGCATTTCCAACAACTTTATTGGTGCTGAGGCCATTGGTTCAGGGAATCACATAAAATTTTCACCTTAAACTATTTCTGCTGGGTGGGGTGGTGCAGACCTGTAACCCCAGCTGCTAAGGAGGCTGAGGCAGAGGAATGCAAGTTCAGAGCCAGCCTGGCAACTAAATGGCTCTAAATGGCTCTAAGCCATTTAGCAAGACCCTGTTTCAAAATAAAATAAAATAAAAGGGCTGGGGATGTGGCTTAGTGGTTAAGCATCCCTGGGTTGAATCCTTGGCACCAAAACAAAAACAAATAAACAAACAAAAAAAACTATTCCTGTCTTTCCGCCTCCTGGCTCAGCTTGCTCTCAGTGAGTTCTAAATTCCACAGACTGCTTCAGCACAAGGAGAGGACTTGTGATGGAAAAGGTCCTGGATTAAACTGCAATTCTAGGGGAGACCTGTGGCATGTATGATTTGCAATTGATTTGACCTCCTTTTCTAAGAGCTCCTGCTCTGGTCTGGCACAATTAAGCTAGGAGCCTTTCCCACCTATCCTAAAAAGCCTGTTCCCAGCATAGAGGCCCTCCACAAGGATGCACCTACCCCGGTAGCCACCGCCTCCTCCACCAGCAGTGCAGGCTCCGCCACCGCCCCCGAAGCCGCCGACTGCGGCCCAGCCGAGTGTAGCCCTGGCCTCGGCACATCCCTGGCCGCCCTCTGCCCCTTCCTTCAGTGAGCGGCCAAACTGCGGAGAGCGGGCCTGTGACGTCCAGCCGCCCCCTCCACCTACAGAGCGACAGCAGGATGATTGGCAGTGGGGGGTGAGGAGTAGTCCCCCTGCCCGAGGTGGTCCCGCGCCCTCACCTGCCGCCCCTCCTCTCCCGCCGCTCCCTGGCGCCGCCGACCGGTTTTCCAGTTTCTCTGGGGCGGCCTGAGTCCGGGCTCGGTCCTGCCGCCTCAGGCAGCCACCAGCAGCGGCTCCAGCTCGCCGGCGCGTAGCTATGGGGCCAGCAGCGCGTTTAGAGAGGGCGCCTTCCCTGCCGTCGAGGAAGGACTCCGGGCCGGGCGAGAGCTCCCGCTCCAGGGCCAGAGGAGAGCATGGGCTTCCTGCTGCGCCCAGGTATAAAGGGACCTCGAGGGATGAAGTAGAGCTCGTGCGTGTGAGCCCCGGGTAGGAGGACAGGGACCTCAACGCTGGGCTGAAGGGCAAGCGTGGCCAGCACCGGCCATGGCACGTACCCGGAAGACGTAGGTGGCGCCCCCTCCACCCCCACCACCTCCCGCCCAGTGCTGCGACCCCCGGACTCTTTCGGTTTCATCGGCCGCCGCCGTGTGCTCTTCAGTGGACTGAGACTCTCCAAGACAGACGAGTTGGCTCTCCGGGCTACCCTGCGAGAGCCGGGGGCAAAATCAGCCTGACCTGGGACCCTCAGATCGCTGAGGTGTCTGAGCACCGAGGAAGGAATGCCCCGATGGCCGCCCGGATGGCCACCCCCATGACACCCACCCCCTGACCTAGACACTCGAACCACCTTTTTCCTTCTGGATCCACTTACTCCTGGACAGGCGTCCTCTCCCTGCTGCCCCACTAGGATATACAGCTGCTCCCCACGACCTAGGGAGAAGATCCCTGAGACGAAGACGCCATGCGCCCGCGACAGGTGGTTCTTGGCGCCCTTGCCGCCTGCGGCTCCGTAGGCTGAGATCCTGAGGGAAGAGGGCGCTGAGTCCCTGGCCTTTGGTCCGGGAGATCTCCAAAATTTCTTATCCAAGGAACTTAGAAACTGTAGTAGACTCTGAAGGGATGGGAAGACTAGGTTCGCACACCAAAACGTTAGATTTTTGAATATATTTTAATGGAGATGGCAGGAGGCTCAAGCCCCAGTTGGCGCCGCTGCTGACTAGGGGCAATCATCTCGGCCATACTAGGCTCCAAAGTACATGCTAATTCAGTGACTATGGCTACTCTTCCCGTGGTCCATTGGAAGGAGATACAGTCAAGGTCGCCAAGTTAGTTATTGCAGCAGAATACTCTAAAATGCAATGTGATGTATGGGCACGTGGCCTTTTTTTTCTATTACTGTAAAACCCCAGACTAGCAGGTCACCACCACCTCTACCCATCCCCAACACTTACAGATACTGGCCGGTGCCTGGCGCCCGCCACAGCTGCACTCCTTTCAGAGGCCCTTCGGCCCCCACGGTCACCATCACGCTGGTCCCCTCGTATGCCCAATCACATTGTGTTTGTGTGGGGCCCCATCGGCCGCTGGCCCCGCAGGTGGAGAACAGCCAAGGACCTTCGATGCCTGGGAGCAGGGAGTAAGGAAAGGGTTGTTGAGCCCCTGGCCAGGCCTAGGGGTCTGAGATTATTGAATGGAAGAACCCGCGGAGCTCACCTGGAGAATTTGTGGGGGAATCTGGCTCTAATCTGTTAGGCGGGGCGGCCACCTTCGAGTCCCAGGGGCTTGGAATTGGTCGCGGCAAGGGCGAGGATGGAAGAAAAGGCGCCTGGGACCCGGCGCTGCAGCAGAGAATGGCGCCTGAAATGTGGCAGGGAAACAGAGGGGTTGGGAAAGGGCGTAGGATATTAATCCGGCAGGGCTGGGGATTAAAGAGAGACAATAACCCCTCTGCGGCTCTTCGCGGCCACACCCCTAAACACTGCCCAGCCAGTGCACACTGAAGCCTGGAAGCCGGCAATAACCCAACTCGGTCGCCAAAGCCTCGCGTGTTGCGCGCTGATGACCACTACCAGGTTCTCCCCTCAAGAGTCCTTCCCCCTGAATAACTAAGCCCGGTTCTGCAGCCCTCCCCGCTTTTCTTTACTTAGATTAGAGGCCCTACTCCCAGGCAGTGCTAACACACCAGGGCTTATTCCTGGTTCCCAAGATGCGCGATAGGATCCTAGGATTTGGGAGCGTCTGGCGCTTCTCCGCCTGCACTCCACAAACGTGGAGAGCTTCAGCCGCGAAAGGTCCAAAGCCTCGGTAAGAACCACTACGCCCTGGTCTGTCGCGAACGCTGTCCCCAAGTCTAGGAAGGTGCCTCTTGTGAGCTCGTTCCTTGACCGCCAGACAGCACTTACCCGCAGCTCCGAGCCACAGCAGCAGAGGGCCGGAGCAGCCCATAGCAAGTTCAGTCCACCCCAGCTGATGTTGAAAGCTCAGAACTTGCCACCACAGCAGGCAGCATAGGGTAGTGTTCAGCGGTTGGAGAGACACCCCGGGGACCTATTGTCTGTGGCCACGCCTACTTCAGACCCCAGAATGTGAAAGGAGGAAAGGGCGGGACGTGTGGGCAGTTAGGTCTCCGTGCTTCCGGGAAGAGCCTTGTGGAACCCCCACCCTGGGGCTGTCTCCAGATCATAGAGTATGCGTCTGGCTGCCCCAGGGGCTTGTGGTGGTTTTGAGATAGGGGAGGAAATGCCCCCATGCCCACCCTTTTGAGACAACAGCCTAAAAGGTAGCTAGCCACAACCCAAGCACTCAGTAGGGGCTTCTAGGTTTCTAGGGATAGGAGCAATGGGGACTGTGCTGCCATGGTGATGATGGTGGTGGTGTGTATACCGCATGGGAAGTACTCTTTCTCTTTAAATTGCCCCGACTGGGCATGATGGTGCATGTTTGTAATCCAAGCAATTTAGGAGGCTGAGGCAGGAGAGTAACAAGTTCAAAGCCAGCCTCAGCAATTTAGCCACACCCTAAGCAATTTATCCAGATCCCATCTTAAAATAAAAAATAAAAAGGGCTGAAAGTGTAGCTCAGTGATAAAGCCCCGTAGATTCAATCCCCAGTACAATAGGATACAATACAATAAACTGCCCAAATAAGGCTGGGCTTGTGGTACAGGCCTATAATCCCAGCAACTCAGGAGGCTGACACGGGAGAATTGCCAAGTTGGAGACCATATTAGCCCAGTGATAGGGCACCTGTGGGTTCAATTCCCCAGTACCAGGGAGAGTGGGGGAACTGCATCAAGTAAGGAGGCATCATTACTTGTCTTTACTTAACTTTCAGTGCCTTAGTGACTGCAAAGCTGAACCACCCTGATACCCTCAAAATACAATTCTATTGCCCTTTAACTCTGTGCATATCTTTGTACTGTGAGGGGGTAAAGACTAGACAGGATGTCCTAAAACCTGAGCACTAGTATTACAACATTAATCAAGGGGCAAGACAGCACAGGCCACAACTGCTCTGAGATGGTATCCCCACCATCTGGAAAGTCATATGAAGAAACTGCTCTGTAAACAAGGTACCTGTACAGGTGGGAGGGCCACTCAGCTTCAGCCTTCAGGTGGTTGTGTGTACTGAGTCCTCAATCTGTTGCTCAAAATGCAACTTAAACGACTGAGACCTCTGTTTAATATAAAACACCTAAAAAGCAGTTTAGCTACTTGGTAAAATCTGAGTAAGTAGTACTAGTTATAGCCACAAAATGATTTTTATAAAAACTCTGGGCTCTATGTCCCAGTTAACTCTGTAGATATCCCACTATGAGATAAGAGAATTTACTTCACAAGATCCCTGTAAAACCAGATTCTTGAACTGTGGTTGGTCCAGGACAGTAGCATCAGTATGACTTGGGAATTTGCTAGAAATGCATATACTTGGCCCCATCCTAGACCTACTGAAGTCTAAAACTCTGGCAGTAGAGTCCAGAAATATTTATTTACTTATTTGTAGTACTGGGGATTGAACCCAGGGTGCTTTACCACTGAGCTACATCCCCAGCCCTTCTTTATTTTGGAATAGGGTCTAGCTAAGTTGCTGAGGCTGACTTCAAACTTGCAATCTTCCTCCTGCCTCACCATCCCCAGGTAGCCAGTATTATAGGCTGCACCACTATGCCTGGCAACAATCTGTTTTAATCCACCCCCCTAGGTGATTTTTATCACTCAGGCTTGAAAACCATTGCTATATGCAGATACAATGGCTGCTTAAAAAAAACCTATTGGCTGGGCATTGTGGCACACACCTGTGATCCCAGCAACTCAGGAGCCTGAGGCAGGATGACCTCCTGTTCAATGTCAGCTTCAGAAATTTAGCAAGTTCCTGAGCTAACCCTGTCTCAAGAAAAGAAAAAAGAAAGAAAGAATGGGGATGTGGCTCAGTAAGCTAAGTGGTAAAGCAGCAGTTGATGGAAACAGGATGATACAGAGACTTATGCTTATCACATTAAGGATACCTATACTCCTAGTAGATTGCTGGGAGTGTTCAAGAAATACCCTCATTCCCAAAAGCATTGCTCTGGGCTTGCTCTACCCAGGAACTAAGACACACATTCTTGCCGTCCCCAGTTGTGGACTGTTCTCACCTCCCACTCATGATTTTTTTTTTTTCCTTTTTGGACTGGGGATTGAACTCGATGGTGATTTACTACTGAGCTGCATCCCCAAAACTTTTAATTGTTTACTTTGAGACAGGATCTCACTAAATTGCCCAGACTAGCCTTGAAATTGTGACCCTCCTAGCCTCCCACTTTCGATTCTTTCCTCACCTCTCTTTGGAATAACACCCTTTGATACCAACTCTGAACTAACATGATTAAGATCAGTCCAAATCAGCCAGGACCTAAAAAAGAATTTATTTCAATGCACAACATAGTAGGTGAGATGTATGTAGAATGTTTTATCTCAAAAGGGAGGGGTCACCCTTCACTCGCAGCACAGGCCCTCAGAAGCCCCAGATCCTGTGCTCCAGGTACCAGGATGTAATGGTAAGGACCATCTGTTCAAAAAAAGCTCAAACAACATGCTCTCAGGACAGGAAGCTTTCTGCTCCTTTGTGTCTTGCTTCCTCTAGGAAATGATGCTTTTCTGTCCAACCAGGTGTCCACTGGTAAGCCCCTGGAGAATGTATCCATCTTTCCATCTGTAGCAACTGTCCTAGGTCTCTGATACTCCATTTTGTAGTACACCTGAGGCCATTCTCTGGAGGTGCTGCTGCCGCAGAGGGGGCAACTGGGAATAGAGCTCAAAGCCCTCTGGGAGGCTGGAACTGGGAAGCTTATAATGCAGGAGGTGCTGCCGGAGACACTGGAGGAGAGAAGAAACATTATGAAGTGTGAAGTGAAATCCTGTTGTGGTCTCTGTCCATAAAACCCTCTCATCTCCCACCCTTCTAATGGTCCCAATCCTACCTCATCTGCTAGCAGCCAAGTTCTCTGCAGCATACTTCTTTGGACAGCTTTCACTTCATCCTAGAAACACAATAGGGAGAGGTGGCACCAAGCCAAAGGCCGGAACTCACCGCTGGCCTTGCTTGACCCTCATCTCCTCTATAGCTGGTCTAGAGGCAGCTCAATTGCTAGCTCCCTTCCTCCCTCTGAAGATAGGGATGTAACTTACTGAGCTCTTTGGGTCCTGGGAGAAGATGAAGCTATTGACATGAGCCACAGCTACAGCATAGAGTACAGGACACCAATGTGGACGGAGTGCACCAGTAACAAGAGTCCTGAAGTAGAGCTGAAGGAGGGCCAGGTTGTCTTCGGGAGGGCCCGTATAGCACTCCAGGGAAACTGGCAACTGTGACAGGGGAAACAATGTGCTGAGGAGAAGGACGGGAATGTGCATCACGAAACAACATGGTAGATGTTTGGTGGGTACATGCAAACACAATCATGAGGGTAGAGATAAGGTCCTGGATTCATCTTTCTCTAGCACATGAAGGTTAAAGACTAAAGAGCAGAGCAGCAACTGAGAAGTAGTTGTGAATTTCTACTGCCTAGCACATATTATTTAATGAACGTAAAACTTTTTTTTAATTTTGGGGGTGGTAGGATAAAACCCAGGGCCTACTTTGTGTTAACTTCCTCACAGGCATGTAGATTTTTTCAGATTTTTTGTTATTTTAAGGAACCATGTATAAGTAGCATTGTACACAAACTTTATCTAAGTAATCATTTCTCTCTCCTTTTTTTTTTTTTTGTACCAGGGATTGAATCCAGGGGCACTTAACCACTGAGCCACATTCCCAGCCCTTTTGATTTTGAGACAGGGTCTCATAAAGTTGCCTAGGGCTTTGCTAAATTGGTGAGGCTGGCTTTGAACTTGCAATCCTTCTGTCTCAGCCTCCCTAGCTACTGGGATTATAGGAATGTGCCACCACACTCAGCTATATAATAATTTCTGTGTGGAATTAATAACAACGTTTTAGAAAGAAAATTGTATCCAGACAACATGAACTTGTTTGTTTTGGTACTGGTGCTTACCACTGAGCCAATCCCCAGCCTGTTTTTTTTTTTTTTTTTAATTAAACATTTTATTTTTTAGTTGTGGGTGGACACAATACCTTTATTTTATTTTTATGGGTTGCTAAAGATTGAACCCAGTGTCTCACACATGCTAGGCAAGCACTCTACCTTTGGGCTACAACCCCAACACCCCCAGACTGTTTTATTTTTTATTTTGAGACAGGGTCTTGCTAAGTTTCTTAGGGCTTGCTAAATTAATGAGATTGGCTTTGAATTTGCAATCCTCCTGCCTCTGCCTCCCAAGTTGTATACCATCATGTCTGCCTCAGAGAACATGATTTTTTTTTTTTTAAAGAGAGAGTGAGAGAGTAGAGAGAGAGAGAGAGAGAGAGAATTTTAATATTTATTTTTTTAGTTTTCGGCAGACACAACATCTTTGTCTGTATGTGGTGTTGAGGATCGAACCAGGGCCACGCATGCCAGGTGAGCGCGCTACCACTTGAGCCACATCCCCTGCCCCAGAGAACATGAATTTTGATGGTTGGTAATATAATCAAGCAGTGAATATGATATTTACATGATATTTTTAAAGTTTTAAGTTTGGGTAAAGGATGTAACTTAGTGGTAGAGCACTTCTAACATGCACGAAAGGCCCTGGGTTTGATCCCCAGCACTGAAAAAAAAATTAAATGTTTATTTCTTATGTGATGTAAGAAATGCTTATCTTTTTTTTTTTTTTTTT